GGCCTCCCTCCCCTCTCTCCTCTGGGTCCCTGCTGAGCCCAACAAGAAAGGGGTCAATTGTCTGAGGCCTCCCTTTGTCTGAGGGGCTCCCTGGGCCTCTCGGAGTGCCAGAGTGTATCCATGCACGTGCAGGTGTGTGCATGCACATCTGTATGAGTGTGTGTATGGACAATGTGTGCGTATGTGTGTGTGTGCATAAGCATTGCTTGCACATTTGAATAAGTGAAATGAAAAGTGCATGTGTGCGTGTGCATGCACACATCTTAGTGTGAGGGTGCCTGCGTAAGTGCTTAATGCATTTCTGAGCTGCTGATGCATCTTAGCAGGGCGAGGGGCTCGTAAGGCAAGCAAGTGAATCATCTCTGGCTCATCTCAGCAGATCACATAGCTGCCTTTATCTGGTATTTGTGATGGTACAGAAGCCTCAGGGACTTTCCCACCTACCCTGTTTTCCCCATAGGCCCGGGGAAGGCTTATATAAGGATGCTCCTTACATAGCTTGCTTGCCAGTGTTGTCCCATGGGTGTGTTCCAACCCGGGGTTTCAAAGTGAGATTTGTGCAAACTTTTCTGCACAGTCTTAGCCCCTTTGTGGGGCTGCCTAATTGGATCTAGTGCATTTGGCCCTGTTTCCACAGTGACTGAAATACCCTGTTCCTGTCCACCCTGTAAGTTGGTTCCTATGTAGTGCAGGGTGTTGCATCTGTCCTGATCATCATGTTCCCTCCAATGACCTTTTCACACAGAGGCCTGCAGGGAGCTGTGGCTGGCCTGGCCTTCTGTGCGAGCCTGCTCTGTCCACTGCCACTTCCATGATTCTCACTTTCTTCTTTAGCAAGGGTGTCATTTTAAGAATGACAATAAAATATATGTGATTCAGAAGCCAGGAAAAGACTAATAAAAACTCTCCATTGAAATTCACCTTTGTGAAAGACACACCACCAGGGCCCCTTTAACCAGCACAGCTGCCAGAGAGCCACTTTCTCTGTGTTTTGTTTTTTTTCCTCCCTGTTCTTGTCTTTCCCACCCCATTTCCTCTCCCTACTCCAGCGAGGGCTTATCTTTCAACTGGAAAAGCCACCAATTAAACTGTACTCCAAAGCTTATCAAAATATTCAGTCAGTAAAATTATCTTATAATTAGCCTAACTCTAAGCCAGAACTTTTTAATCCCAAGATATGTAAAGTTACCCAGCAGGCATGTGAAATCTGTAAATTGCTCCTTCTGACCTTCTGGCTATAGTTTCTGCTTTTCTTTCTTTCCCCAAGTAATTTCCTCCTTGTTCTTTAAATTCTTGATCATCCCTGAGGCGTCTTCCTCTACTGTTTGCTTAAATTTCAAAAAGGAAACGGACTCCTGGTTTAGTGGAGACAGATGACTGAATAGATTCAGGTGTGTGTGATTGAAATCAACTCAATATTATCTATTTTGTGCCTGCACTTTTAGATTTTCTTTTTGTAAACTTGAGCCTTCTTCCTTCTGATTGCTGATGGTTCACAGTCATTCGGATGCCCGCAGTGGTAGCATATAGACTAATTATTCTGCAGCCCACTTATTCTAATAATATCTGGGGGACTTTGTAGTGTGTCAAGCTGGACGGTGGTATTGGGCTTTCTTTTTATTTTTTTTCAACTGACTTTTATTTTTAATTAGCCAAGTGTATACTGACCTTTATTGGGACAGAATGGAAGATACCAAAGGAAAAAGAGACAAGATTCTTACCCTAAAAAAATTAAAATCAACTTGATACAGACTGCACAAGATAGTAAGACTTAGCGATATTTACCGCGTAGCATCTGAGTAGTACAAGACAGCACAGAACAGAGTAAGTGTCGGTCCCACACAAGGGGACACCATCAGCGACTGTGACAGGGTGTTAAGGAGAGCAATTGGGGGATACATCCCGGAAGGTGGGAAAGCATCAGACATGTGTTCTCATCCCTCAGATACCAGTGGCTTCTTCTGGCCCTTGAGCAATTGAGCTCCACCTCTATAAACTTCAGTTTGCTCAGCTCTAAAACAGAAGGTGAGGATTAAGTGAGGAGACTCTAAAGTTTTCCAATGATAACAAAACACGATTCTAAAAACAAATGCAAAAAAACAGGGAAGGTGAGGCTATTATAGGAAAGAGAAAGTACAAGCACAAAGCCACAGAGGGAGGAAGAAACTAGTTGTTTGTGCATGGACAAGGTGTAATGTGGGGCAGCACACAAGCCTGTTTAACTGTTCTAAAGGTTCTGAGGACAATAGCCTTAGAAATTGGTGAGACACGGTGCTAAGCCAGGGAAGGGACTCTAACCTGGGGCCACAGTGGAGAAAGAGATAAAGCAGTCAGAGTGGGACTTCTCTTCATGCTCCCGGCCTCACTCTATTCTTATATGTTTCAGGGAACTTTATTACAACCCCTTCCCCAAACCCACACCCCAAATACAGTGAGAAGAGGGTGTGGTTAAGACACTTTCTCTTTAGGGTCACACTAGCACCCTCTTTTTGTGTGCCGGGAAGCCCAGAGCCACTGCTAAAAAAATGCTGGTCAATCCAATCAGCTTCAGCAGGTCTGGCGCAGAGGGCAGATGTCTCTCCAAGAAGGTTGTAGTGATGGGTTGTGCAGGGACATCCACTGATTCTAGTTCTGGCTGCCAGATTTCATCCTCTGGAATCTTCCCCACAACAGGTAGGATGTCTCAGGCTGCTCTCTCCCCAGCCTCCACAGCTCTCTCCACAGCTCCCTCCATGTAGCCACTCCAGTGTGTGGCAGTCTCAGTGCTCGCAAAATAAATCGTGCCTGCTGGTTGGCATAGTACCCTTCCCATATTGAGTCATGATCTCAGGGAGAAAGTAGGTGGTGTAGCAGCCCCCGGAGTGCTGCTCCTCACACCAGTTCTTCTCTTTATAACGTGATGGTTTCAGAGCTTCTTGGGATCCTAGAACTTTTGCACAGAGCTCACAAAGTGTCTTTATCCTTTCTTCTTTGGTAAGACGTGCCAGCTTTCCGACTCTGTGGGCAAGGATAAATCCCATTATTGCAGCATAGCTGCCATTAGGTTTGGTATCATCCAATGTGTAGGAAATTAGAGCTTCCTCCCCTTCAGGAATCACGGTTCCATGGTAACCCTTTTTCCTCCAGAAAGGCTCATTGTAGTAACTATACACTTGATAACCTAACCCATAGGGACATGAGTGATCAGCTGGCTCCTCCTCATTGGCAGAGGGGGTTTGAAGTGAATCTTCATTCCCAGAGTAGGAGGAACAGAGTGAATCAAGTATTTAGCCTCATACATCTCATGGTTTAGGGTCTTGCAAAGACATTTTCTCCTGTCTGGTCAATGTAGAACCAGGCCTCTCCAGCTTCACTCTGTCCCCAAAAAGGTCCATTATCTGCTCGCTCACTTGACCAGATCCACCCATAAATTTCCTCTCCTCTCTGGTCACCTTCCCTGCTCTAGGTTGCTTCTGCATTCTGTCTCTGTACGGCTGGACCAGGTGACCTGCTTGCTAAAGCTTTGGTGCTCGTCTGAGCTGGGAAAAGCCTCTGGCTTTCTTATTTCAACTCCCTCCCTCTGCCTCCTCCCCTTCTCCTGCCAGCCTCCTACTACCTGGGGACCCTGGTGTCATCTTGCACCACCTGTGACAGCACCATGAGAGTCACCTCCCCACCTCCAACCTCACTGGGGTTGACATCAAGGGACCCATGAAGATGTTTGGGGATTTAAAGGTGTAACTGCGCACAGAGATGGTATTATCAGTGACACTTAGATTCTTAACTGTTGTGAGCTTCTTTTTTTTTTTTTTTTTTGGCCAGGGCTGGGTTTGAACCTACCACTTCTGGCATATGGGGCCAGTGCCCTACTCCTTTGAGCCACAGGCACCATCCTATTGTGAGCTTCTTAAACTAGTCATGCCATAGTTGGGCACACAAGGGTGAATGAGACTTACTCAGATGTGTTTGACATTGACTCTTGCTTATTACATGATGAAATATTTTCAAAGTTATCAAAATTAACTTAAAACATTAAATTTTGAAACATGCCGACTTTTCATAAGTGGGGTATTGCCTTTATTCTTTATAGTTTTCCTTGTCAGGCAGTAGCATCCATATACATACACATACACGGATAGAAATACACAAATATAGAAAAAGTGCTTCAGCCTTACATTAATCCTGTAGGAAAATAATTATTTTGCCTGTTTTACAGTTGGGAAAATTGAGGCTCTGAGAGTTTCAGTAACTCCCTAATGCAGCTGAACTTGGCTGGCTGGCCTGGCTCTTTTGTAATCCACTATTGCCCTGGTGGGAATCAGGGGAGGCCTGTGACGTGTGATTTGAGCCCCACTTGTGCTTGAGAGGTTTTGCAGACAACCCTGCAGAGCAAAGAGGAAAATCACAGTTTCATGTCAACCTCTACTTGTTGCTGTGTCCAGCAATTGGTTGCACGATGTCTTGATGACACACATGAATTTCAGGCTCTACTTCTTTGCTGTCCTCAGAGCTGACGCTTATTGGGCTTGAGCTTAGGGGATCAGTGTGAGGCTGTGCTGATCCCCCAGGTGGCCAGTCTTCCTGGTGGCTTGGGCTCCACCTGGTGCTCTTGGAGGATGGGGTAAAAAGGAGCTGGCTTCCAGGACCTCAAATGGCTGTGTTCTCCTAATGCTGAGCTTGGAGTCAGCCACATGCTGCAATTTCATCCTTTCATGGCTGTGTCTGAGAACTAAAAGAGCCCTGTTTTGGAGCTCTTTTCTGATGAAGGACACGTTCTGTCTAATCCAAAATGAAATACTTTATGCCTCTTTAAACGCCTTTCAAAATACGATTATCTTTGAAGAGCTAAGTTGACACTAAAGAGCTGTCACTAAAATGTGTTATTTATGATACATCGGGAGTGGAGCACTTTAGGAAATGTTTAAAAACAATCAACCACATGAAGTGAATTTTGAATTTTCTTATGAATTCAGCATATTCTTGATACTATTTAATTTTTTTTTCTCTCTTTTTAATTACAGCTCGGGTTGACGATAGCCATTCGCTATAGCCACAGGTAAAATTTTATATATATTTTTTCTTTTTCTTTTTTTTTGAGACAGAGTCTCACTATGTCACCCTTGGTAGAGTGCCGTGGCATCACAGCTCACAGCAACCTCAAATTCTTGGGCATAAGTGATTCTCTTGCTTTAGCCTCCCAAGTAGCTGGGACTACAGGTGTATATATATTTTTTCTTCTAAGAAATAGCCTTACCAATTTATAGCTTTGGGTTTGCTTGAGTCTCAAATTTTTCAGCTTCATTTTAGTGGCTGCTCTACCATGAGTCAGTGTCACAGGTGAAATTGTTCTGGTTGCTTGACTTGCAAGAGTGCACCACTTGGAGAAATAAAGTCTTTGCATAAAAGTGATGGTAGGTGGCACAGTTTTTTAAAAACAAAGCAATGGGATGCTCTGGGGACAGGGACGTGGAAGGGACTTCTGGGTAATGTTTTCACTCTCCAAGAATGAGAACTGAAACCTGGGCAAGGCTGGGTTGTGAGGCCCTTGCCCCCATCCATGGGGGCCTCTCTCTCCTGTCTTAGTGCACCTGACAGTGCTGAAAGGCCCCATTGTTATCTTGCTTCATCATTTCTGCCTTTGACTCAGTGGCATCATGTTTATAAAAACATGTTTGTTTCTTGCGCTCGTTTCAGCCTTTTCTGCTTTGCATGTATCACAATGCATTGAGATGTTAAAGTAGGATCCAGCTCTAATGGGGGGCTGGTAAGCAGATGCTTAGGAAAACTGTGCTCATGGCCTCCCCACCAGGCCACTCTCTGGACATAGTTTTGGCTCTCAGGGACATCTGGTCAGCTTTTGATAAAAGAAATCCAGAGTTACCTGATTTTAAAACAAATTGGCCTCCTATAAATGCTTGCAACCAGTGTATGTGTGCTTTCAACTTAAGTGTGAACTGGGCAATCACAGGCAATCCTTGAGACCTAGAAAGCTGTGGGGAGCAGGGAGGGCAGGCGTTTGGATGGATTTGGCGGGATGGATTTGACCCGTTGAAATGAGCGTACAGGAGGAAAGGTGTTCGTGTGGGATGCTGCTGGGGACCTGTAGAGGAAAGCTGCTGCGGAGAAGCTCTCAACTGTGCATGATTGTGCAGGGGAAAAGAAATATCTTTTCTTTGCCCATCCCTAGGTTCATGGCTGAGGCCTCATACAAAAGACATTAACAAGAGCAAAGTATGCACATTTATTTAATATAAGTTTTACATAATATCAGAGCCTTCAAAGGAAATGAAGACCCAAAGAAATGGAGAAACCTATTTCTTTTTTTTTTTTTTTTTTTTTTTGCTAGTTTGATGGAGAAGTGGACATTTCATGGAGAGCTGTGACTTGACAAAGGGGGTAGGCATGAATGGTAATAAACCGGGCAGTGGGGACTTAACAAACAAGGTCCGTCTCTTCAGATTCTTCTCTGTGACTCTGCGTCTTTAGAGATAGGGATCTTCCTTTCTACTGGGTAAAAGGGGGGACACCTCCCAAGGGTTCTATGGCCTGCCTCAGGGGAGGCTAGGGGAAGGTGACAGTGACCTTCCTGCTCCTGCTGTTTCCTCAAGTGCCAAGGTGCCTTGTTTTAGGGTGGTGTGTTCTGAACCCCATCAATCACTTGTTTGTTTCCCAGTTCTCTGTGTGCACGAAGCACGCCCATGACAGAAGCATGGTGTCCTGCGGCAGTGTGCTCTGCCCTTGTGAGCCCAGCCAGGTCACTGCAGCTGATGAGACACACAGCCATGGCACATGTAGGATCCTGGTGTGTACTCCGAGCCCGAGCCCCTCCAACTGACTGGGTGTCGTGTATGGTGGGGGGATATGTTCTCTTAGGAACTTGCAAGAATCCAATTTTCCAGGATATTCTAAAGGTGGCTTGCTCCAGAATGAGGTATGAGTGCATGTGTGTGTGAGAGAGAGAGAGACAGGGAGAGAGAGAGACTGACTCTAACGTTTCCTTTAATTACCCCATTTTTCCTCTAGGTCACAGGTAAGTCCTGCGCGGCAGCCTTTTTATGCACGGACTAAAGGTGCCTCTTCCCCAAGCGAGCTGAGACCTTGCTCTAGTTCAGGGAACAAGTGGCTCTTTCCCGTAGTGGCAAGGGTTACTTTCCTATGGCTCTGCAGAGAGTTATAACTTGTGAGTCTGTGTGTGGACTGAGAGCACAGATTTCATTTTAATAGTCTTTGTCAGGCTGAGGGGCTTTTGCTCAACCATTAACTTTGTCAAAATCAGGTAAAATGGCAGAGTGGGGTAGATGTGATGCTTGTTTTGTCACTTATGATTGTCTTGGCCCAACCCTGCATTTGCAGAGAAGATTCTGATTCCAGTGCCCACACCAGCGGCCATGGGAATGTTACCAACTCTACACTTGGTTGGTGGAGGCCCTTTTCTGGGCTGAACACGATCTTCATCAGGAAAGGGAAAATGTCTTCTTACCTGGACTGAATGGTGACTTAGATATGATCCCCCATGGGGATGAGGGCTCTGGGTGAGTTCTGGAAGGCAGCAGTCTGCCTGGGTTGTGCTTGACTGTCCCCTTTGGTTCCTCTTTCCCCATAGCAACCCGGCCTTGCTGAAGAAACGTGGTTAGCAGATAGTGGTTATGAAACTGAGTAGGAAGGTTGGTGTGGCCGTACAGAAGCTAAGGGGGGGCTTTGTTGTGAGGAAGGGAAAGACGTGGGTATCTATGTGGCCTCTGTGGGCATTTCCATGCTCAGCTGTAGGGCCCTGATGCCTCTTCAGAGTTACAACTTGGGAAGATGGAGGGAAATTTCACCTTAGACTCTTTAGTCTGCGTTGCAAGCTTCCGTCTCACTGGGCCACAACATCTCTTTCATGGTGCTTTTTGGAGAAACCAGTTGGACAATGGACAACAGTTGTCAAGGGGTCAGAGTCACACAATATGTCTTAGCAGCTGAGTGGTTCTGGACAAGTTACTTGTTTCTCTAGGCTCTGTACCTGGTGGCAAATTTGTCTTGGGCAAATTCTCTAACTCTCCTATCCTCTCTCAATGCTTATCTGAAAATACCTATCATAAGGGTTGTTATGAGGAATGCAGATGGTGGGCAGAAAGCCCAAAGCCTGCACCGGGCACGGAGAAGCTGGCAGCAAAGATGCCGTGATGTCCACAGCACTAGCCGCTATGATGGTAGGGGTTAGTTGGTGCTGGAAAAAGACCAGGGTGGGCCCTGGAGTTCATCAACACCAAGTCTCAGCCCTATATAGAAGGACATGGAGGCTGCTGATGAAGTCTGTTATAGCAAGTCGGGGCTTTGGAGTTGCTCCTCCTGTAGCCATGCTGTGGGGCCTGCTGCAATTCGCACAGCTGCCTGATACAACTGGGCTACCACTTACCATGCACATCATAGGTTAGGGGTACAGAAAATGCAGTGGATGTAGCTCCCTTCTCCTTCACAGAGTCCAGGGCCTGTGCTGGGAGGTCAGAGGGCTGGGCTTCTGGAGGCTCATTCACACATGTGGCTGGTAGGAGATGCCGACCGCGGTGGGGCCTCTGCTCCTCTCTACATGAGCCATTTGGGCTTCTTCCCAGCATGCTGCTTGCTTTCTCAGACGAGTGACCCTGGAAGACAGAACCAGATGGGAGTTGCCTCTTTTCTGCGCCCCATTCTGAGAAGTCATAGAGCATCTCTCCCACTGGGTGGCATAATCACCAGCCCCACCCATGGTCAAGGAAGGGAGCAGAGACCCGAACTCTCAGCACAGGAGGCTCATGTGGTCACAAGAGCACATGGAGTAGGAGAGCGTGGTGTCTGCTCTCTGGAACATGTGGTCGGCCACAGAGCCCAGCTGAGGGTTGGGAGCTTTGCTTGGAACACTTATGGAAAGAAATGTCTGACGCTGTCCTTGTGACATGGAACTTACTAGTTGGGGATGCATGATAGGAATGTGTGAGGGAGGCTGATGGACAGAGCTGAACTGATCAGGGCAGCTCTTAGAAGGGGCAAATCTTAAACCATCCTGATTCCCCTGAAGTGCAGACATGGAATGAGGCCCCTCTGACCCCTGGCAGGCTGTTCATAGGGTCCCTCAGAACACATAGTCTCTAACTTGCTGTCTGGCGTTTGTAGGGAGGAGAGGCAGAGTTGGGGGAGGCTGAGGAGGCGTGGGGTGGATCCTAGATGCTCAAATTGCTTTTATAGTACTAGTAGTTCAACCTTGACCCCAAGCTTAGAAGCCACTCCTCAAACAAAAGCCCTGCAGAGAACTGGGCAGAAGGCGAGGTGAAAATTTAGCAGTTGTGAGCACGTCCCTTCAGGCCCAGCCCTCAGCCTGCATCCTGGCTGTGTGTTCCTGCCAGCGCCTTCTGTGCTCTACCAGGACCCATCCTGGCAAATGTGGCTTCCCTCGTGCTGAGTCTGCAGGGACATTTGCTTCTAGTCTGTCTTGTCCCCTGTTTTGGCTCTGAAGTGTTCAGTGCAGAGCAGGAGTCATGAATATTCACCTAAGGGCAGCAACAAACAAACAAAATCTTAATAAGTGGGAGAAGAGACACTGAAAGTGATGTGACGGAGGAGGAGGAAAGTGAAGACACCTGCTGTCACTCCCTTGCATGTTCCGAGGTCCTTCACCGTCTACCCTGGGGGTTGGGGACCTGGGGGGTGAGTAGGGAAGTGGTTCTCAACCCGTGGGTCGCGACCCCTTTGTAACAATGAAAATACATCTTGCATATCAGATATTTACATTATGATTCATAACAGTAGCAAAATCACAGTTATGAAGTAGCAACGAAAATAATTTTATGGTTGGGGGTCACCACAACATGAGGAACTGTATTAAAGGGTTGCAGCATTAGGAGACATTAGGAAGGTTGCGAACCACTGGAGTAGGGGCCCAGTGACACTAGTATTCACAGGAGACTGTCAGAGTCATCTGGTATCACCTGCATAGGAGTCTGAAGACTTTAGGAGCAGAGGTAAAGATAAGAAAGTGATTGCAGTAACTCAGAAGCAGTGCAAGGCCTTTTTGGGATTGGTTGGGCCTCTACCAAAATG